AGGTTACATTTCAGCGGTGCTACTTCGTGTCCTATCACGCACGTGACTCAACAACGATGTACAAAAATCAGAGAACATATCCCGATAGCCCCAATTACGAAATTGACTCGTCATCGAGAAAATCAGCACCGATTAAACGGTATTGTCTCCACGGGCGTGTAATAACGTCACGTAAGAATAGCCGCGGATACAGCGTTTCCGTCGACCACTTTCCGCGGAAGAAAGTGGCTCGTAGGAGGGAAACGAGTCGCGCGTTACTAGAAAACGAACAACGGGTCATTGTTGGACACGTCGGTCCACGACCATTAATATCACTGCCTCCTTGGGCCACGTAGACGCTTATGCAGCGACTAGACCAATTACCGTTAGTTGTTCGCTGCCGTTGTAAAATGATTTATCGTGGATTGTCCTCGCCGTTTGAAATTTATAGAGCGAGTCTCATTGGGTTCTTCGCGTGGCTGCAAAATAATCGGGCTGATCGTGAGCTCGCACGCTCATTATCGAACGTGCTAAATTACACGCGAGATACGGTGATATCGAGCCTCAATTATGTCCGGCTTTCCACGAAATCACCACAACCGTATTTTCAACGACTCCATCGTTTTCGTAATTTATGTAATTCTATCGCCGTTCCGTTTTCTGGGACGGCGGTCTATGACCGGAGTCGTCAAAATGGCGTCGTAAAGCTCGCGAACTGATATGTCGATTTAAAGAAACTTTTTATCGTCTTTAATTTATCTGCACTTATAAAGTAATAATACTGGTTAGAGTAAAATGAGGAAATACAAAAGAACAATTATGATTGAAAAATTTGATAAAAACTATGATAAACAAATGACAGAGTATCGTTAGAGGAAGACGGAAGGTGACGATTTGTCAGGCGTTTTCACCGGATCTATCCTCCGCGTTAATCGTTCGTCTCGTGCGTTCTTCTGGTCTCTCTGTTTGTCGATCGTGCGTGCACACCGGTGCTGGACTATAAGGTTACAGGAGAGGCCAACCGCACGTCAGACGAGAACCAACTGGTAGAAATCTCATCGAAGAACGTTACACGACGGCCGTTAATCGCGTTCGACGGGCGTGAAGCGACGGTGTTAAGGAGGGAAATCGCACTCTGGTCCTCTGCTTCTCTTTCGCTTTCTTCCGACTTTTCGATCGCCACTATTCCATGTCTTTGTTCCCCAAAATCACCTTTCGATAGCTCGACAAAATCTCATTTACCACTCATAAAATGACTCGTTTATTACTTGGTCGTTCTATTACTCGCATTGTTCAGAATCATGTCACAACTTCTATCCAGGAGTAGCTAGTTGTGAGACACCCTGTATTACTCCTAGTCGTAGACTATGTACCTCATGATTATAAGTGTAGTTTGTAAAATTCATTTACAATTTTCTATATTCTAAAATTTATTTATAATTCTTGCACTTATTCAAATGTTTGTATTCCCAAATTTTGTATCTTCAAAGCCCTAATACTTCATATGTTCATATACCTACTAAAATGTTTATATTCAAATGTTTATATCTGAATGTCTATATCTAAATGTTTATACCCAAATGTTTATATGAAAATGTTTATATCCAAATGTTTATATAAAATGTCTATATTCAAATGTTTATATGAAAATGTCTATATCCAAATGTTCATATGAAAATGTCTATATCCAAATGTTTCAATAAAAATGTCTATATCCAAATGTTTATATGAAAACGTTTGTGTCCATAAACATAAATCTTCCTCAGTTACCAATGAATGAATTTAGATTGACAGGTTTGAAAATATTTTCTGTACACAGCATCATGTGAGCAGAATGCAATAAGCCACTCCTTTGTCATGATTGCCGTCGAGTACGCGTTCTAGTCTTAAAATTTCATGTTTGTACATCAGCTCTCACTGTACATGAGCGCGTTTAGCACATTTCCTGTTATTTGTATGGTTTTTGCTTGTCTTTCTCACCGCGTCGTAAACTATTACGACCATTAGTAGCCCCGAGAAAGTATACAAAAACTTTACATCGCGCATTAAAATAAGGTGGTTTTAAATCGACGCTACAGCCGTAGGCCATCGGCTATTCAAATAACACGCCATCCGCGTTTTATTTGTCTCGCTCTTACAATTAACCTACAAAGACAACTGTAATCGCTTTTACTACGAATTGCTACAAATGTGTGGGAAAATATGGGGGATTAGAATGTTTGGGAATAAGGGTCGATTTTCATGAATTACTATATATTTATACTTTACAAGGTTTCAAAATTTTATATTAGTAATTGTAATATTAATTAACAGTATAAATTCATAAATTTATAAATTCTTATATTCTGATGTATATATACAAATTACCCAAACTGTTGAAATGCATAAAAATTCCCGAAGTTTCCCAAAATCCTCGAATTCCCCAAATCTCACAAATTCTCAAATTCCTCAAATTCCAAATTCCCCAAATACCAAGTCCTCCAAATCCCAAATTCCCCAAATTCCAAATACCTCAAATTCCAAATTCCCCAAATCCCAAATCCCCCAAATCCTAAATCCCTCAAATTCCAAATACCTCAAGTCCCAAATTCCCCAAATTCCAAATTCCCCAAATACCAAGTCCCCCAAATCCCAAATCCCTCAAATTCCAAATACCTCAAGTTCCAAATTCCCCAAATTCCAAATTCCCCAAGTACCAAGTTCCCCAAATCCCAAATCCACCAAATTCCAAATACCTCAAATCCCAAATTCCCCAAATTCCAAATCCCCCAAATCCTAAACTCCCAAATCCCCGAATTTCCAAATACCTCATGATTGCCGTCGAGTACGCGTTCTAGTCTTAAAATTTCATGTTTGTACATCAGCTCTCACTGTACATGAGCGCGTTTAGCACATTTCCTGTTATTTGTATGGTTTTTGCTTGTCTTTCTCACCGCGTCGTAAACTATTACGACCATTAGTAGCCCCGAGAAAGTATACAAAAACTTTACATCGCGCATTAAAATAAGGTGGTTTTAAATCGACGCTACAGCCGTAGGCCATCGGCTATTCAAATAACACGCCATCCGCGTTTTATTTGTCTCGCTCTTACAATTAACCTACAAAGACAACTGTAATCGCTTTTACTACGAATTGCTACAAATGTGTGGGAAAATATGGGGGATTAGAATGTTTGGGAATAAGGGTCGATTTTCATGAATTACTATATATTTATACTTTACAAGGTTTCAAAATTTTATATTAGTAATTGTAATATTAATTAACAGTATAAATTCATAAATTTATAAATTCTTATATTCTGATGTATATATACAAATTACCCAAACTGTTGAAATGCATAAAAATTCCCGAAGTTTCCCAAAATCCTCGAATTCCCCAAATCTCACAAATTCTCAAATTCCTCAAATTCCAAATTCCCCAAATACCAAGTCCCCCAAATCCCAAATCCCTCAAATTCCAAATACCTCAAGTTCCAAATTCCCCAAATTCCAAATTCCCCAAGTACCAAGTTCCCCAAATCCCAAATCCACCAAATTCCAAATACCTCAAATCCCAAATTCCCCAAATTCCAAATCCCCCAAATCCTAAACTCCCAAATCCCCGAATTTCCAAATACCTCAAATCCCAAATTCCCCAAATTCCAAATCCCCCAAATCCTAAACTCCCAAATCCCCGAATTTCCAAATACCTCAAATCCCAAATTCCCCAAATTCCAAATCCCCCAAATCCTAAACTCCCAAATCCCCGAATTTCCAAATACCTCAAATCCCAAATTCCCCAAATTCCAAATCCCCCAAATCCTAAACTCCCAAATCCCCGAATTTCCAAATACCTCAAATCCCAAATTCCCCAAATTCCAAATCCCCCAAATCCTAAACTCCCAAATCCCCGAATTTCCAAATACCTCAAATCCCAAATTCCCCAAATTCCAAATCCCCCAAATCCTAAACTCCCAAATCCCCGAATTTCCAAATCCCAAATTCCCCAAATTCCCCAAATTCCCCAAATCCCAAATTCCCCAAATTCCAAATCGCCCAAATTCTAAACTCCCAAATACTAAATCCTCCAAATCCCAAATCCCCCAAATTCCTCATATCCCCCAAATCCCCAAATCCCTCAAATCCCAAAAATACAAATTTCCAAAATTGCGAAATCGCCAAATTCCAAATTCCCTAAATACCAAAATCACCAAATTGAAAACCGTGCAAAGCTCGTGAACCGACATAAAACTCGATGGTCGGCAAATTTAAAGCACATAAAGATCAGTAGAATTTCTGAAATTATCGTTGAACGAAGGTTCTGCCCTTCGAAGGCTCAGTAAGAAACCGAAGTCCGAAGTATCCGTACCGGTTTGTAATTCAGAAGTATTATCCAGCAAAAAGCGATCGTTTTCGCGCGTAAAACGATTATCGATCCGTTAAAGGAGAATCGAACCGTTCCAGCCGCTTAGAGCCGGAGGCTCGCAGCGAGATGAATCGGCAAAAAGCCGATTCACGGTGAAAAATCGGTGAACCGACGCCCATGAAGAACCTAAGAAGCCAAAGGAAAAGAGCTCGTTATCTTTTGTTTGAACGGCTGTGCTAAACAGAGGCCTCTACATAATTGAATGGCCGTCTATTCAGGATCGGAATCATCGACCAACGGTTTTTGCCCCGTTCTGCTATTCCGCTCGAGGATCGGAACAGGATCGAAACGGATCATCTCTCTCTCGATCCGGAGTTAAATCCGCCGAAACGAAAGAAGAGTTTCGACGCCGAACGATAGGCAATAAGGCAACGTTTGTGTACTCAGCTGCCTCCGAGCGGCGTGGGTGGATGTAATGAATGGATCTGTCAGATTTGTAAACATTTGACGTACACCCGTATCGCGTCCGGTTAACTTGATGAATCGATTCGTTGAACAAGAAGTTCATTTTTGAACCTCGAGAATTTTTATTTCGGGTGCTCGATTTTGGCGGAAATTTTTAGCTCGAATAATATTAGTCTTGTAAAACGTTGGTATGATAAGGAAAATAAACGAACCTTCTCACTTTGCGGTCCCCAGTTCGTTAACCCCTTCGCAGCCGGTTTTGTCTGCAATCAGAAAGAAAAATACTGTGTTAAAATAAAGTCGAGTAGCGTTGATTAATTTGAAAATATTTGCAAATTTTATCATTCTGGTTTTTTACATAATGACATGTATGAGGTTGTAAGGATATGATCTTATGATTTTGGAAAGGTGAAACTTCAAAATGAGGGTTAGGGTACTAGCACTCTAAGTTTCCATATTTCTAGATATTCATATTTCGAGACCGATAGACCACTATGTTCCCATGCTCCAATGTTAGGTCCCAAGATCCATAGGTCCTAAGATAACTACATCATTAAATCTCTGTACTCCTACACCTCTGGACTCCTAAGCATCTCCACATTTCTAAATTCCAACCTCAGTGCCAGTATGTATTCCTGATCACTTAGATTCATATGTCCGCATGTTCCACTGTCATATCTCAAAAACCATAGATCCACATACAACCATAAAACCATGTTCAATCTGTACTCCCATATCTCTAAATCTCCATATTCCTAAATCCCACCATCCATGGTATTAATCCTTGAACACTCAGATTCCTATGTTACCAGATTCCAAGATCCTAAGATAACTATAGCATTAAACTGTACTCATCTGAATCCTTAAACCACTGCATCTCCTAAACCACACCTCACCATTAATCCACCTCAGTATTAACCCAACTGTGTATTAATCCTTGATCGCTTAATCAGATAGCGTTTATACCACCATTAACCCAGCCCTAAGTAAGGTGTTAACAATTGCACCTGCAAGCGTTTACGACCGCTTCCTTTATTTTCAATTTCACCGCGTCTTAACGGTCCTCTATCCGCCTCGTACATCACGAAAGCTTTCTCTGCGCCTAGGCGTAGTCTCCAACTTTTCCTCTGGAGGAAGTTACGGACGTTCCCGGCAGGCAAACCTGGAAAACCGAAGCCAGAGATCGCGATGCTTCTCACGGAAGAGCGAGTGCAACGATCGGGAAAAAAAATACGGAGAAACAAGCGTCGGTCGGAGATTCTGTTGGTTCGTGTTCGATCGGTGGAGAGTCAGGGAGGAGGTGGCGATGCCGGGCCGAAAGAGGAATCCCGAAGGAAGATGTACGCGCTTGCGATTCCACGACGGATTTCGCTGCGGGGCCCGGGTGTGGTCGATCGTAGGATAATGCTAGCGAGCGGAGACGAAAGAGGAGATTCGAGAGGGAAGCTTCTCGAGATCGATGCCTAAAGGCGAGACGAGTTTAGCTCCTATACTCCGGCATCGATAACCGACTAAGAAACAGCAGATATCGGCGAATCAGGCTTCTAGTCCATTTTCTTTAGCCCGCAAAACGTTACTTGTCGAACGCTCATTTACCATAATTACACCGGTCAACGCTTCTTTTCTGTTTTGCCACGAGAGCCTCTAATGTCAATAACTTCATTTAGTTCACTCTGTACGCTCGTGTATAATTACGCTGTCATTGATTTATGTTTGTTGGAATACGTGTCTGCATGTTTGTATGTTTGTTGGTATGTTTGTCTGTTTGTCTGTTTGCAAGTTTGTCTGTTTATATGTTTGTATGTTTGTCTGTGTGTATGCTTGTATGTTTGTCTGTGTGTATGTTTGTATGTTTGTATGTATGTTTGTATGTTTGTATGTTTGTATGTTTGTATGTTTGTATGTATGTATGTATGTTTGTATGTTTGTATGTTTGTATGTTTGTATATTTGTATGTTTGTATGTTTGTATGTTTGTATGTTTGTATGTCTGTATGTTTGTTTATTTGTGTGTTTGTATGTTTGTATCTATATTTGTTTGCATCTTTGTTTGTATGTATATATATATATATGCAGATTAAGTATGAACCTTTAAGAAGTAAACAACTTTAAGAATAATTTCTTATGCACTCTAAACTTTCACGAATTCGTAATCAAACAGTTTCCTGCTTTCTCGATAACGACCCCGATCCTCAGGATAGGTATTGTTCGGTTCCGATGTCGATCGGTTTAATTGTTACTTAATTACTCATTGTTACAACCGATCGAATGGATCCGTGAGTTCACCCCAACTAATGTAACCTTCGTGACTCTTTCACATGGTAATCAATTTATATCGTCATATCACCATGCATAATAGGTATTCAATCGATCAGCCCGATCAAAGCGTAGGATGAATCCAATCGTTTCATTCTCTAGCATCGCCTGTCGGTATTATTCGTTATTCGTTGCTTTCACCCGTGTGCTCTATGATTTAACTATGCGCAGTGTTAACTATAATTGCACAAGCCTAATGCCCGTTTGTCCCACATACATGTAATTACGTTAACACGGCCTGTGGCTACTAGAGAAAACTTGACCATCTGACCTGTCAACACTGTCGACAGTTCACGGCATACATACTAGAAGCTTTAGAATTCAGCGACACAAGAATCCAGGAGTATAATGACCTAGAAATCGGAATATATCGAAAATGAAGGTTCAAAGATGAAACACGTTGCACCTTCCCGGAAGAAGAAGATCGGAAAGACACGAAAGAAAATCTCGCAGGTGGTTACACGTGCGTGCATGGATATTACAACGCCGGAGGGCTTGGATGTTGTAGCTGATCATAGAGGATAATAATCGTGAGAAGTTGGACGAAAAAGAACGTTGAAGGCGGTTTTCACGAACCGGTAGAGGAATCACGCGAGCTACAGCGAGGTTTACGGGCGACAACGGGAATCTTACGATCGGCAATCAAATAAAGGAATAACGGTAACTAAGGTAGCTATTACTAGCCGCGTTAAACTTTAACGCGGAATTTTTCTACAAGCAATTTTCTCATTAACTCGTGGAGAGTGTTGGAAACGATGATGGGCAGATCGGTTACTCGATAAATACCTTTCGGCTACATGCGTGCGTGATCGACTCTGGGCAGATATGAAATTTATTGATCTGACACGAAGTTTACGAACATACGAATTTATACATTAATGAGTGTACATACAAATGTACATATTAATTTACAAACATACAAATCAGTGATATTACAACCATTCAAAGTGTATAAACATACAGTATGTGCAAACATACAAACATACAAACCTATGACATTATAACCATACAAAATGTATAAACATACAGTGTGTGCAAACATACAAACATACAAACCTATGACATTATAAACATACAAAATGTATAAACATACAGTATGTGCAAACATTACAAACATACAGAATGTGCAAACATACAAACATACAAACATACAAAAAATGCATACATACAAACATACAAACATACAGAATGTGCAAACATATAAACATACAAACATACAAAAAGTGCATACATACAAACATACAAACATACAAACATACAAACATACAAACATACAAACATACAAACATACAAACATACAAACATACAAACATACAAACATACAAACATACAAACATACAAACATACAAACATACAAACATACAAACATACAAACATACAAACATACAAACATACAAACATACAAACATACAAACATACAAACATACAAACATACAAACATACAAACATACAAACATACAAACATACAAACATACAAACATACAAACATACAAACATACAAACATACAAACATACAAACATACAAACATACAAACATACAAACATACAAATATACAAACAAACAAACATACATACATACAAACAAACATACAAACAACCATACAAACAACCATACAAGCAAACATACAAATAAACATACAAGCAAACAAAACATACGAACAACCATGCAAGCAAACATGCAAACAAACATGCAAACAAACATACAAACATGCAGACATGTATTCCAACATGTCTACAATTGCACCAATTAGTGTATGCAATCCCAACAAACACAACGATTCGAATAATCTGAATTGGGGAATGCGGTAAGTTAGAAACGTGTGATTTGTAGCAAAGCGGCGCCCAAAGATTTCCCCGAACGTCAGCCTACATTGTTCGACGGCGGTCGCATTGTTCTCGTGGAACAGCGTGGCAGGTAGTCTCGGAGGTTCGTTTCCGCGCCGGGACGTACTTTCTATCCGTCCTAGGTGGACACGCGACCGTGCCACGGTTGTCGTGTACCCAGCTGCCGGACGACGCGTGCCTAAATGCAGGAAGGAAAGTAGCAATCGAGCAGAAGCCGAACCTTCTCCTAGGAATCGTTCGATCGGAAGATCGGAGCGGTCGTGTTTCCAACGCTGTTACGGTTTTAACGGTGTCGCGAAATCACGGTGAATAACGTTCCGCGACAGCTGCGATTCCGCTGGATCGATTCCGCGAACGGGTGACCTGCTCTTCTACATACGTGCAGTGCTCCTCCACTGGGTTATGGCGCTTGCGGTTACGGTTGTTAGATGACGAGGCTAGTTTTCGAGGTGTCTATTAGAGCATAACTAAATGGGTGTGTAATGGTAGGTAGTTTCAGCAGAATACAGGAAGCCTCTCTATGTACCTTGAAAAATTGATGCAATTCATGGAAGATGCATTTTAATGCGCTGCATGATGCGGGTATTAATACTAGATAGGTAATCCGTTTAACTCTCTATGTGGTTATGTTGCACGTCTTTGGAATGATGTTTCGAACTTTGTATCATTTGTTTTTCATTTCGATGTCAATCTTCATTTTTTCAGACTTCTAAATTGAGAAGTCTTATATCTTAAATTATTAGACTTACTGTAATCATTTATAAAAGACAAACCTTTTTACCTATAATCATTCTCAAACTCTCATATCTACTTTCTGGAGCTTCATATATTTTTTCTAACAGTAAATGAAAAAATATTTTTGGGGCAGCATTAACAACCCTATTCTACAAATACCTGGAGCTTCAAATATTCTTTGTAACAGTAAATGAAAAAATATTTTTGGAGCAGCACTGACTCCCATATCTACACATTCCTCAGAGCTTCAAATATTTTATCTGACAGTAAATGAAAAAATATTTTTGTAACAGCACTAATTTCCATATCTAAAAGTTCCTGGAGCTTCAAATATTTCTTCTACCAGTAATCTGACGAGAAAATATTGT